TTCGAACCCGACCTCTACCTCTCGACTTCCTGTGTCTAGACTTGGGCAACCTGGCAGTATCTCAGTCCTCGTGCTTCCTTCGGACAACATGGCAGTTGGGCACCGAAAGGATGTTACAGATGAGCCATATGAAGGGCTCTCCAAAAGCTCCCCTACACAAAGCCGTGTCTGTCAGGGATGCTCATTCCCTCCATTCCCATTCAATTTCGTGATCGATGAGATTAGCGAGGCGAACGCTGAACAGTATCCAAAACCCTGGAGTTCGAATAGCCTTTGGCAACAACCTTGTCGATCTGGAATATGTAGGCGACATCGTTGTCGTCTTCGAAAAGGAGAAGGCGCAGGTTTTCTGGGTAAACTTACCTAAGTCATCCCGTCCTCTGGTGTGCATTTGGCACCCACAAACCCTAAGTTCATGCTCCTGGACATGCGGTCACTGAACATGCTACGTACAATCCAGGGTGAGACACTCGATGTTCTGGAGCGGTTTACACATCTTATGAGTTGCATTAGGTCCGACTGTAGTGTGACAGATGAGGTCAGTGCCCTAATCTGCAAGGCTCGGACCATGTTGCTAATTTGAAACACCCGTGGCATCAAAGTGGTGTACCTATGAATCCCAAGGGACGTGTGTATCAGGCTAGAGTTCGGGCTGTTTTGTTGCATGGCTGTGAGACTTGGTCTGTTTGAGTGGCGGAACTTGGACGACTTCAGGTGTTCGATAATCGTTGTCCCCCAGCCAGAGCTCGTGTGGGTTAGTGTCGGAGAATCCGCAACGAGGCAATTGTAGAGCGAGTTGTCGGTTGTGCAACAGGTACTTCCACTGAAAAATTCGTAGAGTACCAGAAGCTGCGTTGATTGTGATGTGTTGCGTATATCGAACTACCGTTTGCCGAAGGGGGTGCCGTTTTCGATGCCCAAATCAAAGGTGTGAGTAGGGCGATGGCCAAACCTTGACCTTGGTTTCTGTCAGTGCAACTCGTCTTCCATGATGGTGACCGCATGACACCCACTGAGCCTGATTGGAGACACTGTGAGATATAGCTGCGAAACGATGACAATGGCGTTCCCGTTGTCAGTTTATATACAGATTGCCTGAATGAGTGTCTGGTAGGCAAGGCACCTCGGAATGATTGTAGTTAGCTAGCACGAAGTCCCTTCCCCGTTCATCGTTATTCTTTTCTTCAGAATAAGGCTTTCAAATGAATCATGGTTGTACGGCACCGAAGGAACGGTGTTGAACACTGATGTCATGCTGTCGATGATAATGTGTAATGGGAAGTCGTATTTTCGTGGTATATGTTGATTTATCCCTCTATCTAAGCCTAATGCTCACCAGCTGTCTTCTATCATTCATAGTACTAGTTCTGTTTCTGTAAGATATCCTGACCGTGTTGTATCTTACCTGGTACAAGTAACCCCTTTTCAGGTTTGGGAACGGACGTCAAGGTCACCTGCGCACCACTCCCATTCCCTTATTCTCCTTATCTTCGATGAGCGAAGCTGTGGCAGCCGAAAATATTGCACTTTGTTACATGGTTTTGCAGCTGAGAAACTGAGCTGAACTGAGCCAGGGTCCCCACTATTAACTCCCCCTTTATAGCAATGTTGGTTGAACTTGTAGGGTTTGGAACAAATTCATTTCCGTCAACAAGTTGTATTTTTTGATACTTCTTGACCTCTTGTTATATGTTCACTGGACGGTTGTGTAAGTTACATAAAGACACGAGATACGGTTAATATTCATTTCGTGACGTAATCTGTGTCCCACTCCTGGGAACCTTATCGGTCCAAGGGCTCCTTTTTGTGTTCCCCATAGCTGGTAATGGTTTCGAGGATGTCTAATTCAGTGCTCGGTTAACTTCAACTTCGAGGAGTGTTTTCGGTACCCTGTATCTCTATCAACCGTATTGGAAAATATGTTTTACTGTCCGTCTCTTTGGTACAGTCTGGTGATGTTCAATTGTCCGAAATTTTCTGGACCCGTCAGCCGGTGTCGATGGACAAGGAGAATCTGCCCGTACCCACATTTCCAGACAATTTAGAGGAACTGAAGTGTTGTAAGGTATGTAAGTTCGCCATTTGATGCTATGCCTACATTTTCATCCGATTTTGAGCGTCCGTTTGGGGCGCTCACATGGTCTACATATGCTTGCAATATAGCGCATTCCCCCTCTCGCTGGGGTCCCAGAAGGTTGCTAGTGAACAGAAATCCTCAGTGATGAATAAGATTCCTCAGTCCCAGAATGTATCCGCTTGAGGAGTAATATAGCAGTGTCATCCTCTTGAGATCTTAAAACCATGCTCTGATTTCATCTTAAACAATACGATTCCTAAAAAATCGCCAGAAAAATATATATTTCAAATGTAAAGCAATATTAACTTACACATATATGTAATTAATTTATTCGATTAGTTCAAGTATTTAAGTAGAAGACTTTAATTGGAGAGCCGAGAGTTTTACGTTCATATTCATAAAAATAGGGCGTGTTTAAGTTGTTTTTTATTACTATAGGGATATAAAAAGGCGCTCAAAACTCGCCGAAAGTCCAACTCTCGTTCGACCGGTTTCAGGACTCATCGTGTAGCCGTTTTCACTGAAGTTCGATCAGTCTTTCTTCTTGAACTCTAGTCCGGTAGTGCTAACTTGAGACTTGGAACAATTTATCGTTCCTAAGGTCCATTATCCGAGTGTGCAGCGCAATGTTAATCCCAGGTTTCAGCTGATATGGATTTTTTTACTTTGTGAAATTCGAAATATGTGCCTACCTGATGTGCAGCCTTACCAGTCCTGGTTGACAGTTGAACGAACATGTTAGCAATTATTGTTAAGCAAATACTGTTCATTTACTAATGGAATAATACGCTGGTGGTGTCATATATGTCATATATATATATATATATA